ATTAGTAATCATTACTAAATGATTAGTATCAAATCTAAATCATTAAATATTTTTAATAAATAATTATTAGTAATCATGACTAAATTATATTATTATTAAATCATTAAATATCAAATCATTAGATTAATAATAATTATTAAATCATTATTAGTAATATTAGTAATTAATCAATCAAGTTAAATAATAAATTTTATTTGATCATTAATATAATAATATATTATATTATATTTAATTATTTAATGATTTATGAAATTATCTTATCTAATTTTTTAATCTAAATTAATTTATTTTTTATTTGTAGAGAAAATGAGCAACAACTTTTTCACAATTGTCCATTATAATAGACATATTATGGAAAATGAGGTCGGAGTAGTTTTTCAGTCTGAAAAACCAATAAATATGATGTTCAAAAAAGACATCACATTTATAGAAATGAAACATAAGATAGAAAGAAAAATTCGAGCTACAGTTGATGGTTTGAGGTATATGTTTATGATATGCCCCAACCCAGTCAGATATACTGCAGTTCCACTTGAAGAAGATGATGATATTGGAACCATGGTTGGATTACATAAGTAAATCAATATAGCAATTATTGAGTTATTAGTTGATGTGCGTAACATATGTGATGTTTCTGGGTCATCAAGAGGTGTGGCTCAAAATCCATCTAAAATGACTTTATATAGTTAGTTTGAGGAACCGACATACAAGTTTCCGAACAGTTTTATGGCACTATTGGAAAGTGTAAATGAAGTCGGGGGACATCTGCAGCAGCAGAGTATGAGACGAGAAATATATCGAAATTGGTTGTTGATAATGATGCTGAAAATCGATGGGGAGAAATTCATGATGATTCAAGAGAAGATGAAAAAACCGAAGAACCCGTTTTGGGCGAAGATGAAAGTATTTTCGGTGGAGGTACAATTGACGAAGTTTCGACATCGTATGAAGCTACTCCTTACATGTACGAGATAGACTATGATGCGATGAGGCACCTTAATTCCCAGACATGCCACATTTACCTCCGTACCAAATGACTGAATCATTCGATAATTCTGGTGAAATTTCAGTTGGGGTGCAATTCAGAGGAAAAAATGAAGCTACGCTTGCGATTAAAGAATACTGCATCAAATGCCATGTTGTTGTCCATGTTGCAGAGTCCAACCAGAAAACCCTATACGCGAAGTGTGTAAAATATGACCCAGAGTGCAAGTGGAAGATCAGAGTGTCGAAAAATCAAAGGCACGATGTTTGGGTCATCACGAGGTACGATGGTCCGCACACATGTTTGCGAAACTCCATCGTACAAGACAACCGACTATTGGACTCCGATGTAATATGCGAATACGTGAAGGCGATGGTTGAAAAGGATCCAAGGATATCTTGTTCAGTGTTAACTGCTCGTCCTCCTGCAATTAGATAATGTAAAAAATTTATCATAATCATCATAAAATAATATTCAAATATTTATTAATTATAATTTATTAAACAAATATTTTATTCACCATTATTCCCAAGTTACTTGAAATATGTTCATTGTCAAGTTTCAACAGTGGAATTTGGTCAGCCATTTGAATGAATCTGTAAAAAAAATTAAACAACAATATTTAAAAAATCATTTAATATAATCTAATATAAACTAACTTACTAATTTACAACACAACAAAAAAAATTAATATAATAAACTTATAAAGTAAACTTTTTAAAATATAAATTAAACGTAAACGCTAAACCCTTAAACAACTAATAAAATATTCTTTTATATAACTAAAACTATTAAATTATTTTTTCATTATAATATACTACAAATATTACTAACTAATTTTTTATATAATATAAATTCAACAAACAAATATAACTTAACTATTTAACTAACACAAACTAATTAAATAGTTTTTTTATATAACTAACGACTAACAAAACAAACTAATTAATTATTTTTAACTATATAACTATCAAACATACTAATTAAATAATTTTTTATTTCTGTATAATATATTTAACTTAAACTAACAATCATATAGCCCTAAACTAACAAACTAATTAACCAATTTTTGTTTTACCCTAAACTAACAAACTAAAAATTTATAATAATAAACTAATTTAAATAATAAAAGTTTACCTCACAAGAGCCTTATCTCCCTTTCTTCTTCTTCTTTTCCTTTCTCCCTTTCTTTCTTTCTTTCTCGGCTGCACTATCTTCTCCCTTTCTTCGGCTGCAATCTCTTCTCCCTTTCTTTTTTTATGTTCTCACGTTAACCACCTCCCATATATAACACAAGCTGCCTCAATTATTTCACCAATAATTGTACAATTCACGGCTCACATGCATGCATCAATAATTGTTACATGAAGCATCTGATTTCACGCTGCAATTGCAGCCCATATAGCTGCAGCGACATGCAGCGGGGAGCAGGAGGGGATGGCATGCAGCGGGGGAGCAAGAGGGGACGTGCAGAAATATGCCATGCAAGAAAGACAAAGTCGCTGGGAGTGCATGGCGACCTCTTAGGTCGCCCGGAAAGCATGGCGACCTATGGGTTGGCTTCTGCATGTGCCATGCAACGTTCAATCAACGTTTATTCTCTCTGTGAGTTCGTCGGAAGCTGCCACGTCGTAGGTCGCCCGGAAGGCATGGCGACCTACAGCCAACACTGTTCATTTCGCCCTATTTCAGTAATTAATCTTGGGAGTACATTATCTCGTGAAATAAAAAGTTCGAGAATATTATCTCGTGGAATCAGCCCAATTAAACCCTTTTTCTTTTTTTCCAGTTTTTACAACAATGCCTACTATGCCAAAGTGGGTGGAATCAGCACAGCAGAGATGAACCTTCTTGAATTGGACTTTTTATTGGTTTGGGATTCCAATTGAATGTGACTCCTACAACTTTCCACACCTACTGTACTTCTCTCCAAAGGGAAATGTGGATGCAAATTCAATCCCCTCTACAGCATTCCCCTCAACCTGTTAAGATCCATTGTTGTTTAAATGAAGATGAATCCAACCATCACCAGCAACTTGCTGTTTAAGCCATTGTTCTTATGGTGTATGTTACAGACAAGCCCAGTGATGTTGTGTTTCAAGACCCCAAAATGAAGATGCTGGCTCCAGCACTTTGATTTCAGACATGGAAGTAAAAAACTTCTCAAGCTTAGAGTGTAATCCAAGTAACCGAGACGCCAAGCGGAAATTGAGGCTAGTTCCAGCAAGAGCATTCATGGCTACCTATTGAAACCTCAAAGAACAAGGGATGTCCATAAACGGGAATGATGAAAAGATCAAACAACAGTATGGGTCTTAAAACAAGGAACCCTAAGAGAAACAAGTTGATGAGTTAGTTGAACACAAGAGAGAGAAAAAGATTGTCTTTCAGAAAAAGAAAATGTGCATATTATACATTTCGGGAAGGTCTCTAAGAGAGAACAGAGAGGGTAACAGAAAGAAAAGAGGAGAATGGAAACAAGGTACTGAGCGGAGGAAAATCAAAGAATCTTCAGAAATAGAATTAGTAGCTCCTAAAGGCTAAATTTAACAACTTTGACTTAGTAGCCCCTTTTTTTTCTTTCTGTCATCTATGATCTGTCCTACAGGGGCCCATGTAATTCATTGGACTTCACACTCTTCCATTGTGGCTTACCGTCCATCCATGCTTCAAATAATGCAAATGTATACTTATATTTCTATTTTGGGTAAAGTACCCATATAGACACTTAACTATAAGATCATTTCTATTTTCACCACCGAACTAATTTTTTTAATTAGACCACTCAATTATTAAATTACTATCAATCAAGTCACTGGTTGTTAATATTTGACGAAAACGATGACATGACAATTAAATATATTTCTATCAATTTAGTTCAAATTTTAACTTAAATGAATAAATTTAATCCACCAACCAGACGGTGACAGAGAGGAGAATCAAACACGGGAAATTGGAGTTAAGCACTAACTCGGGCTTCAAACATGAAATATTTGCTGCAGGACTTGTGGTAGATTCAACATAATCTCCGTGTATGCTGATGATGCAAAGAAACAAGAAGTAAACCAAATGTAAGTGGAAAAACTCAATGAAAATCAAATCACACATTACTTATCCACTCATAACAAAAGAAGAGAAAGCAGAAAGTGATATTTTAAGGTAATGAAATTTTCATCTCATGAAGATTTTCTTCAGATTTGAATCCAAATACAAATTCAGCAGCATATGGTACTTCACACCAACAATTACCAGGAACTTCTTCAACTGGAGATGGTAAAAGTAATACCTTCTGGTAAGCTCAAAGTTGTCAAGGCATCTTCCACATACGATAAACAAGCTGGAATAGGTTGGGAAGCCATTGCTCCAGCTGAGCTTGTATGATTCTTCTTAAATTGATGCATTGGCCATGCTAGAAACTTTACTCGAGTTGGAAGAACAGAAAAAAATATATGGATTTCTAAGACCGGTTGTCACCTTGCTGCAGCTTCCGTCCAACTTATTGTTTGTTCGATGACGTGCTATTTGTAATGGCTGCCTGAAAAGTTGACCCAACTTCCCCAAGCAGACCAAAAACGTAGCAATGTTGGTTAAATCATTAGCACTATATATATGCGTGTGTGTGTGTTTATCCCATTTCTGCATATCCATCATAGAAGCAACAACCTAGTGAAAAGATTCATTTTGAGAGAGAAAAGAAATATCTTTTTGATAGAAAATGGAGAAGGCAATCAACAGGCAAAAGTGGGATTTTGTTCCTTTTATTTAACTTTCCACTGAATTTCATTCTACCATACGTTTGGTATATGACTGTTGCTAATATAGTTACCTGTTTCAACTAGATACGGTGCCTATTAGAACTTTTAACAGGCAATGTTCATCGGGCCAACAATCAGTTGCCGATGTTGCTGCTTGTATAAAAGCAGGATTTCATGATATTGGTGAGGATGTTGAAAGATTTATTCGGACATCTCCACCGTATATATTTAGTAAGATATGTTTCCAAAGACATCACATACATTGTGACAAGACAAATTTTGCTTTAATTTAATGCTTTAAAAACGTGATCATTGATGTTTTTCTAACTCCAGCTGTTGGCTAAACAGTTTGGTTACCACTTTAAACCTCGAAACAAAAGCTAATCCCATACAAATCTTAATATTACAGTAACTCTGTGGAAAACTAAAGCAACAGGAAACAACCGAGAAGGATTAAATCGTAATTTCTATTACAAATTCTTAATTATATTTCAGAACACTCGCATCTCCTACTCGTTAATCTCCTACTCGTTAATCACCGTTGAAATCTCGAATTAATGGATTCTTCACACTCCTGCAAGCTCACAATTTGAGAAAAAATTAGCCCTCCCTTTGATGCGGAAGCTGTAGTTCATCTTTCTCCCTCCATATTATAGAACAACATGACCATTATAAACTTTAAGTAATGGTCTTCTCAAAATTGCTGGCTTCCAAGTCTGACAACATGTGATCCATCTTAATACGGCCTGTATCTCATCGGCCGCCTGAACCTTGGAACCCTCCTGAAAATGAGGTCAAGTGAGTTAATATATTCAATGACAAGGTTACTTATCAGAAACTACATTCAATTCTCTCAAGCATAGGGGTAAACAAAGTGTGATCGTGTAGATGATTCTGAAGTAATAGATACCATGCAAATCAATTACTTTACTAAGACTTCTGACTTGGACGCCATGAATGGTTGAAAAAAAAAGCTTAAACATTACAGAGATAACAAATGCTCGATGGCAAAAATCATATAGGTATAATTTCTGAGCATCAGGTGTTCTTTCCACTTCCATGCATCTAATTCCAAAAAAAAGAACGAGACCCTTACGATAAAAGTAAAACCAACAAATTATCTTTTTTCTTTCATTTCCAACAACGAACAAAGCAAGCACACTTTCATGCTTACCCATAGCCATATGGAGGATAGAAAGCAGGACCAGGCATGAAAGGCCTTCGGGAGCGGAAATAAGAGTTAGGCCTTCCTCGATACTGTTTCATTCCAGGAATATTTGTTCGTTTAGCAGAGACCTGTGAATAAATGAAACACACTTTAATTACCGTGTAGTTTATATTCATGAGCTAAATATCCACACATATATAGATATAAACCTTCAATTGACGACCATGCAATTCTGTTTCATTTAACAGTAGAGCATTTTGAACAGCATCAATTTCAACAAATTCGACGTAAGCAAACCCTTTAGGTTGACCAAACTTATCAGTCAAGATTGTAACTCTGTTCACTGTTCCACAGGATTGAAAATGTTGTTGAACTTCCTCAGGTGTACATGCATAGTCTACCTGTTGTGACAGATATATAAAAAAAGGAAAACAAAAGTTAGCCAAGATCCAGATCATTTGTTCACAAGCATGGAGAAATCATTCAGTTTCACTTCATTGAGATCACTTGTTGTTAATTGTGCATTGAAACACTTAAGAAGTTATTTAAAGAAGAAAAACAACATTTAACACAAACTATATTGATGTTTCATCTGAGTTAATTCTTATGGATCAAATTCGTTTGAATCACGTTTAACTTAACATCGGTACAATACTAAGTCATGATTGTCCTTGCAATCACATGCACATAAAAAGGCATTCTCAAGCTACACCATATGCAAAAAGATAAAACCAAATAGAAAAAAGTGGCAAAACTGTTCCCATATCCTTATCGGCCAAAGCAAGAATCATACTTTTAGCTTATAAGTGAATTTCTATCATGAAGAATTAATTGGACAGCAGGTAAGGTCAAAGATAACAATTTAACCACCTAATTTTTTTTTTATTTAAAAAACATAGGAAAGGGCTGATAAACCTTACATTACCAACATAAATTGAGCGGGAATCCACTTCCTCCTTTTCAGCTTGACTTGCAGAAGCACTTGAGGAATCTACATAGACATCTAGGAAAATAAAGTAAAAACAAATCAGTTTATTAGTACTAACAATTCATACACAAATCACTCAGTCATTTAAAAAAGAATTCAAATCAGTAAAATTAAGCAGAAATTCTCTTTCTCGAACAAGAAATGTATATCCCAATCAAAGTCAAATTTGTTAAAAAAATAGAAGAAAATATATATATATAAAAAGAACCTTGGACAGAGCCCATCTCCTTCTCAACTTTAGCCTGCATTTCACGTAAAGCCCCCGCCTCTTCCTCGATCTCCTTAAGTCTCCTTTTCATGTCTTCCAATTCCTAAAATGTCCAAAAATAAGCAAACATGTTATTCATCAGAGAAAAAACTAGGGAAAAGGATAAAGCTAAAATAAAAGAAAGGAGACAACTTTGGAGTTGGGATTGGGATCTTGTTCAAGGCCTTGATCATTGCCTTCGTAATCCTCAGCTCCACCAGACATGTCCACATCCACATCTGCATCCATTTCTCCCTCCTCTTCAGGGATCTCCCCTCCGTACACCTCGTGCTCTTGCTCTTCGTATTGGTCCATTCCAGTCAAATTGGGGGGAAATTTGGAATTAGGGTTTTACTCTTTTGTTCTGGATTTGGGGAAGACAGAGATTCGGGGCTCGGCACTTGGGGAGGCGGGACTGTGATGTGTGCTTTCCATCGATATATATTTCTTTAATACGGCGATACTAATAATGCTATTAAATAAAGGATAAAGTATACAAATGGTCCCACTACTATAAGATACTATTTTTTGAGTCAATTGACTATTAAAATTTATAAAATTATCACTTCATTATTCATTATGCTCCAAATTTATCATTTTCTGTTAAAAAATTAAAGGTCGTTTGAGCTAGACGTTAATATGCTAACTGAGATATAATAGTCATTTGAGATGATGAGATCGGATTTTAGCATATTTAAATCAACATATTAACATCCAACTCAGATTGTCGTCAATTTTTTTAACAGAAAAGGACTAGTTTGGAACATAATGAATAATCAAGTGACCATTTTGTAACTTTTAATAGTCGAGGGACTCAATAAAGTAACACCTTATAGTTTAGGACCATTTTGTAATATTTAATAACCGAGACTCAACAAAGAAATATCTTATAGTCAGGGATCATTTGTGTACTTTACCCTTATATAAATTATTAGTTAGATCTAATTAGGAAAACTACTCTGAGTTGAAAAAAAAAAGTTCATGGAGAAAAAAGTATTTTTTTTCCCAATTAGATTGTTTTTTCTTTCAACTAGATTGTTTGTTATGTATTCTAAACGAATTTCAAAAATCATTATATAGTCCAGTTTATTTTGTATGAGTACGCTTCAATCGGACAAAATTTTGTTGATATGGAGAAACATTGTTCGACCTTTAAATCACACCGATGACATATTCACCAAGAATATAAGGTGTGTTGTTGGTGATGGGGTCTGTGCAGTTTTGGGGGAACTTTTGGACGGCTGTCCTATCGTTAAAAATGGCCTTTTCGTGTATTTTCGCTGTGGCATTTAAGAAGTCGGGTAAGGTTTGTGAGTTTGGCACAAAATAAATGGTTGTTGGTCTTGGAAGATAAATATTAAAAGAGTTCTTTTTGAATGTGAGTTGAGTATATGAGATGAGTTTTTTAATACTATAGATAGTGTAGTAAACAGTGGCTTTACGGTGGATCGGTTGGTTTGGCAGGGCTCTCCTAATGGTGTTTATTTACCTAAAAGATTATGTGAGATCGTTGCTGGTGCCGAGATGAATAAGGATAAGATTTGAGAACTGGTCTGGGTTAATTTAGCTCCACCGAAGGTGAAGGCGTTCGTATGGAGAGCAGTTCTCCAGAGAATTTCGGTGTTAGTGTAATTGGCTTAGTGTGGGATTTCAAGTTTAGATTCCCATTTATGCGTGCTTTGTCGTGAAGAGCAAGAATCGTTGGATCATTTGCTCTGTCATTGCAGAGTGGCTTGGAGGGTTTGGCAAAGATGGTGTGTCATTTGTGGAATATCCAATTTGTTTGCCCTGGGAATGTGAAAAGCTTAATCCTGCTGTGGGACAGCTAATACGTTAACAAAGCTTTCAAACATGTTTGGAAGGTTGCTCTTTTTGGAATAATCTGGAGTATTTGACTGTATAGAAACGAGGTTCTCTTTAACCAAAAAAAATGTTGTGTGAATCAGTTATTTAAGATTGTTTTGCTGAGAATTGGGTTTTGGTGCAACAGCAAATGGCCCTCCTTATATCCTTCAATTCTTGACTTCACGAGTGGATCAATCAAGATCCCTTAAAGGTCTATATAGCTAAAGCGTTTCTGCAGTTGGATTGATGTGTAATTTCTATGGTGGTCTTGTTCTTGTAATGGTCGATGTTGTAATGTGCATGTAGCAGTGAAGCCAAGTCCTTTGGCTTATGATTCCTATTTTGGTCTTTTAGAATGATTTAGGAGTCGATGTGGTGGATTTCTTTGTTTGATGCAGATTGTATAGATGATCCTCGGTTGATTTGATTCGTGGGTCTCGCATGTCTAAGATGAATTCCTAAGTGATGGAAAGGGCTTGATTGTGTTTTGTTGTCTCCGTTTATGCTGATATTGTTTTGGTTGTATTGAGTTCGTAGATGTTGTTTGCTTTTCGTGCTTTATGTGTTGATTGTTCAGTGATACCTGTATTGGTTTCCTAGCTACTCTGTGGCGTATCTCTAGTAGAAATTTGAGGTTCATTTTCCTGGTATAGCTCATTCTACTATCCCACCACACAATCCCGAAAATAATGACTTTTCCGAGCGACATCATCTCCATATTGTCGAAACAAGTCTCACTTTACTCTGTCATGCTTCTATTCCATTAACTTTTTGGCCTTATGCTTTTGCCACTGTCGTATACTTGATAAATCGTATGCCAACCCCGACACTAAAAAGGGAGAAAAAAATATTTGAGACCTCTCTTAATTATTCCAATCTCAAAAATTTTGGTTGTTTGTGCTATCCTTGGCTTCGTCCATATACCGCCCTCGAACTTAAATCTCGTTCCAAACCATGCATTTTTCTTAGTTACTACTCAAAGTGCTTATTTTTATTATGATCCATCTACAATCAAAATCTATGTTTCTAGACATGGCAAGTTTGTTGAGTCCACTTTTCTGTTTCAATCATTAATTACTCACAATCCTCGTTCAGATTCTACCACTATATCCACATGGATTCATCCACCAATACAAGTCTACAGTCCACGGTCTAACATATCACCATCCAAAGTTGGTAATCAACAACCACGATGTAAAGCTCCAATACAAGATATACCCGTGACAAACCAAACTGCCGCATCTCACCATTCAATAAATGAATCTCAAATTCAATCCATCGCCTCAACAATCATCCCTCATCCTTTCCAACCCACATTACGACCAAACCATCCAATGTGAACCATAGAAAAAGATAACATTCATAAACCTATCCAAAAATTAAACCTTCATACCCAATTATCCAAATCAAATTCCCTTGAACACATAATTATAACCCAAGCTTTGAAAGAACTAAAATGGAAGGGTGCAATGTTGGAAGAATATGATGCTCTTGTTCGAAATGGAACTTGAGAGCTTGTTCCACCTGATCCTAGCCAAAATGTAGTGGGTTGTAAGTGGATTCTTCGAATTAAACATAACTCTGATGGGTCTATTGACAAATATAAGGCGTGATTGGTTGCAAAGGGGTTTCATCAACGACCAAGAGCTGATTATCATGATACTTTTAGTCTGGTAATCAGACCAATCACCATTCAACTTGTTCTCAGCCTTATAGTAAGTCTTGGTTGGTCCCTTCGTCAATTAGATGTCAACAATGCCTTCTTACAAGGTCATCTTAGTGAAAATGTGTATATGAATTAACCGCCACGATTCATTGATCGTGATTTTCCATCACATGTTTGCAAACTTCGAAAAGCTATGTATGGCCTAAAGCAAGCACCTATAATTTTAGTGTTGTAACACCTGATATCCAATCGGGACAATCCGATCCAGATACCAATTATCACATTAGTTATCTAAGTGTTTCGGTATAGATTCGCTTTTAGGGATTACATTTGAGCACAATTTGAAACAAAAATTTTCATTTATTTTTACAACATAAAGATACAATGGAAGAACATACATCGTTATTAACCGAGAACAAATTGGGATAATGCAAAAGTTTACAAAAACAACTAATCAGGCTTAGGGGTATTTTTCATCTTTTCATATATATCCTACAAAGTCAAACATACATCAATATAACATCAATAAAGGCATGATGCGAAATTACATCTCAATATGATTTCAGTCTAACTCATTGTCGAAGTTTTAGTTTTGTGTGCTAAGTCATTAATGGGAACATCTAGGTTGAAATTTCGTAGCAAACTTAATGGTGCATGCATGAACTGTTGGGAAATAAACGAGTAATTTCCCTATAACCATATTAGTGAGAATGCGAAATAAAAGTGGAAAAATAATACCCGAAATTGATAACGGAGTTCAGCCAATTTTGCTTACATCTACGGACTGCTGCAGATCTTTTACTAAAGAGAGAAAAATTACAGGCGTTTACAAAACACTCACAAGAAAGCTCTCTAGTATTGGGAGAAAGAAATGATTTTTAGGATGATTTTGAAGCTAAATGGGTTAGGGTATTTATAGTTGAAGCTTAAAGACTAATCTTGTAAATACCCTAAAGTATGCAGGGACTAAAATGTAATTAACCCTATTTCAAATATTCAACAAAATAAATAAATGCACTTAATTTGATGCCAACCTATCGAATTCGGCGCCCCCCCCACTTTGACCCTTCAACAATCTCCCACTTGAAGACTGATTTTAATCTGTCTTTACACCTCAATCAATGCAGGAGTATTTCTGGTCTTGTTACTCTAGCATATCAACTGAAGTTGAACACAACTTCAGTTTGTCCGTAGTCACCGTCTTTGTTAACATGTATGCCAAATTTTGAGCTCCACTAATCTTTTCAAGTTTCAAAATCCTATCTTCTAGAAGAGACCGGATAAAATGATATCGCAATTGTATGTGTTTCGTCCTAGAATGAAAAGATGGATTCTTCGCTAGATGGATAGCACTTTGACTGTCGCAATACAAGATATTTTTTTCTTGTTTCTTGCCTAACTCTTCCAAGAAACTTTAGAGTCAAACCATCTCCTTGCTGGCTTTCGTAACAACAACATATTCTGATTCAGTTGTGGAGAGAGCAACTATATTCTATAGTTGAGAAACTCAACTCACTGCGGTTCCTCCTAGAGTATAGACATACCCTGTAGTGCTTCTTCTGATGTCAATATTTCCGGCTAAGTCAGCATCTACATAGCCTGTCAGTATCGTATCTCTACCTTTGAAACAAAGTGCTTTGCTTTTAGTACCCCACAAATATCTGAGGATCTATTTGACTGCTTCCTAGTGTACCTTGCTCTAATTATTCATGTACCTGCTAACAGCTCCCACTGCATGAGCAATATCTGGTATAGTGCAAACCATGGCATGCATCAGACTTCCAATTGCTGAGGCATACGACACCTTCATCATGTGTGCATGTTTTTCCTCAGTCTTTGGTGATTATTCTTTGGAAAATCTAAAATGAACACCTAAAGGTGTACTTACTGGTTTAGCATCTTGCATGTTG